TATCTTATTCTCTTAAAAATATCAAATTACAGAAATATATTCGTAACATATAGTATTACATTGAAAAATCGTTAACATCTCAATTATGCTAACAATAAGTAATAAGTAATATGTATAAGTAATAAATCGTAAAGAACGTTCTCGCGAAATATGGTGATTGGAAAATAGCGACAGTGTGTAACAGCAGTAGTGCGCTCTATGATATATTAAATGACACATTGATAGTACTAATAATAAAATAATAATAATAATAATATTAATAATAATAATATAACAACCTTTTTGTAATTGTTAAGCAAGCATTTAATTAGCATTATTTATCTAAATCATTTAATAATTGTTATTAATGGCCGCTCGCTGCTCGCGCGTACCCCGACTCTCGTCGCAGGGCCACCAAACTTTTCGTTGCCGTGCGACACTGCGAAGTATATATATATGGCTAATAATGATAATAAGTATACGAGTAGTATCACAAAATAATTATTATACATTTAAAACAGACGTTTTGTTTATACAGATCTTACTCATGTCTCAAACATTGTCTTCAAATATATAGATTGCGATTACATAAATTATTTACATGCAACATGAGAGATAAAGAAAAATATTAAAATAAAAAAAGAGAAAGAAAGAGATGGGAAAAACGTAACAGGGCTTCGATATCCGTTTATTCGATCGAAATAACGTCGAAAAAATGAAAGAATGAGACTGAATTATTTCTTCCTAAAAAAACGGGGAAAAATACATTCGACATCCATGCTTTCCAAAAAATCCAGTACAAATCTCAATGCTACGATCACAGAAGTATTGAGACAACTTAAAGAGGGACTCATCACACATGGATGTGTTTCGAGTTTCTAGGCCCTGTAATTCATGTTCCAGATCTAGCGCGAAACAACTTTTATCTACAAATTTTTCGACGAATTTAGGATCAATTTTTCCTTAATCAAAATTACGAGAAAGATCTCATTATTTGTCACACACAAGTTTTCAATTTTTAATGTTATTATAAATATCTTTGCAACTGGTCCCTAAAATACAAATTCGCATTAAAATCTACTTAAAAATAAATAACAAATAAGGCATTTTACTATCTATTTGCATTTATGAAGTTTGGTTTCCAAAAGGATCTCCATTTTTATTAAAGAAAAATTGATGCTATATTATTCGAAGAATCCGTGGATAAAATCTTGGACCATTAAGTCTGGCACATCTTATACACTCTACAGAGTCTACAGAATCAATCTGTCGAAATTACCAGAATACATATATATTTACAAATCGTGCGATGAACACTTAATTCTAGCTTCGGGAGATACAGTTCAACGAGAATTTTAATTGAAATTATACTTCGCGAATTCCTGACTGTTTGAAAAACTAATTCGCTCATTTATCACGATTGCAAATGTTCTTTTACTATAAAACCCATAAAACGTAACGTTTTACTGACGAGTATTTCGTTTTTATTTAAACTAAAAAATTAATTTTATACATATAATATTTTATCAATAAATTTGATTATTTATTATATACGTTCAAAAATACAGAACGTATATAAAACGTGTTGCACTTTTAAATCGTCAGTAATAATCGCATCATTACTAATAAAATCATGGAAAAGACCTTTCAGAATCTCCTCATTCTTTTTTTCGTTTTTCTTTTTTTTTTCTTTTTATCTTTGACTTATGTGACAAAGTATCATTAAAGTCTGATTCGTCGTTGCGAGAAGTAAAATACGCGCTTACTTTATCGTATCACGAGTCTAGCCTTGTATGAAAAGAAAAAATTGCCCGACAATGTAATACTAATAATGCTATCGCGCATTAAATCGAACAATTACTAATATGTATATCTATAATAATTTCACGTAATCGATATGCGAGAGAAAAATTGTAAATTTCGATAGTCAATTAGGTAATAACTAACACGTTCGACCCCGAAGCCAGTATATATGTGCGTGTGTGTGTTTATTACTCAATCACATATATGTATATATATATGTATATATATAATTTATGTGTGTTTCCTTATATTACACATATATTCGCTACGTAACGATAGTCACGTACGTATCTAAATCTAAGGTATCGCGTAATTCTCTCTGTGTATACATTAAAAAGCAAGAGATAAACGATAGAAAGACAATCGGGGTTTTAAATCTATACTCAGATATTTTCTTCTTCTTTTTTCTTGGCAAGTCTGAGTCTCGTTTTATATCCGAGTTATTACTACGAATTTATTACACACAAAAATCGTTATCTAATATAATCAACAGCATCCGCGGTTTATTAATCCCGTACAAGGTATATAAAAGCTGATTTCTACGTATTTGTACTTCCTCGTCGTTGATAAACGATAAATAAAAAGCTTTTCTTGCGCCTATACCTGAATCTATTAAAAAATCCAGGATCACATCCAGGTAAAATAGCAGTTTTAACACCGCTTCTTAAAACTGTATTTTACCATCATTCTCATCGTTTTTTTAATTCCTTAATGGCGAATAAATTGTTCAAGAGTGATACTATGATTTCTTTTTACTTTGATGGAACACAAATATCTCTCAGAATATATAAAACCGTGCGCTTTTACATCAATCAAATGTAATACATTTGTAGATCCTTTTATACACTCAGACATCTATCGAACGTCTATATGTACGCTATATGTATACATATCACGTAGTTATAATCACGAAACAACTGGTCGACGAGCAACATTATTCTTATGAAAGAGAGTGCTACGACGCGAATGAAATGTGCCCGAAAAAACGCGAGCTCGAAATTATATCGTGTGTTTAAAAAAAGATAATTTTAGATATTGCACAGCCTAATAATTGCGTATAATCTATGTTCTTCTGCTTGTCTTCTTTTATTTATTGATGCGATTCGTAATTTCCGGAAAGCTTAGCGTAAACCAGTTATTGTTCTCTATGCAATTCGTTTCTAGCGTTTACATAATAATTTTTTCACAGCGGGCTTATTTACGAATAAAAAATATGGATAAAATCTACAATTTTATTTGGACAGATAACAACACCGACGAATTAAGTTCATTAAATATTACGCTGATACTTCCGCTCTTATTAAAAAAAGCAAGTATAAAAAGAAAAGATAAAAAGGAAAACAAATTTTCGCGCGATCTCGATGATTATAATCAATGCAAAATATCGTATATTGCTTCGCGATTTTGTGTGTTAAAAATAGATAAAATTATGTTGTTTATACTTTTCGATAAAAACACGTTATCGTTCTCTATCGTTCTCTATCGTAGTCTCTAATACTGCGCGTTATGCGATATCACTAGTTTATCCAAAGTTGTGGCGGAACATGAAAATTGATTGTATGCAAACATGTATACGATTTCAGTAAAAATATATGAATTGTTAAAAATTATTTTTCTTTGAATATCTTAAATTTTACAAATAACTATATTTTAAATCGCAGAATTAAATTTTATCAGAATTTAATGTGTGACTTTATATCATTTTTTTTATAGTTTTCAAGATAATATTAATTTTAGAGTAATTTATTTTTTGTTTTAAACAAAAAAAAATAGAAAAAAATTTGCTGGACTTCCGGTACAAAAATTTTTTTTATTAGATTATCTGTCGATATTTGAATTACAAATTACGTTTGATACTGATTTACTTTGAATGCACTTATAATATTTGTATCCTATACGTTTTTAAAAGTTTGCTTCAAAAGTCTATTCACTGTGCTAATGCCCATCCTATTTGTAATCGCTTGCAAAGCGCGTGAAAAACATGATACGTATCATATAACTGAATAAAAAATATGCATCCTTCTGTGTAGGGTGCGTTACAACTTCATTAGAAATAACGAGAACCAGATTGCTATTACATACAAATTATTAAATCTTAAAAATGTATGTCTCCTACCATTATTAAAATCACATTACAATTAATTCGCTGCTACTTATCGATTTCTACATTATCAAATTCTACATGGCAAACTAATCAATTTACTAACTAATTTACTCTTGGTGCACACACATTAACCATATTAACTACTTCATTATCGAGCATTACGCGAAGAATCGATTAACAGTTAATAATATGCTAGTCGATAAGACACAAATCGTCAATACAAAAAAATGAAGTTTATGGTCCCACGACATAATAACGAAAAAGTGAAAAAGAGAGAGAGAGAGAGAGAGAGAGAGAGAGAGAGAAGAGGAAAAAAGAATGAAAAACGAAATAACCGTATGAGGGAAGAGC